ATTAGTTAACAGATTATTTGTTGCATGCTATAATTTACCATAGTACATCAGTTTATTGGGAAGTGATAGTTGAAAACTGTTTTTGGAGCTTATGACAATAAGGAAGACAGGATTTTCAGACATAAGGTAACTGAATAATTCAGGATAGTATGAGATATATTGAAATTTGGGGATGTGCACTGTGACTGCTCCTCCAGGGCATTTATAGTCAAGGAAATCTTTGTGGAGAAAATGGCTGCTGGAAAAATGGATAGTATATCAGTCCAGGTTCTTTAATTGTAAGCAACAGAAATAAAATCCAATTGATTTTAAGCAGAAAAGGAATTTATTAAAAAGATATCTGGGTATATGCATACCCTTTGACCCCCATACCCAAGAGATGCACATACACATGGGTTCACTGATGTGTTTTTTTGTAATAGAACCAAACTGGAAATTATTCAAATGCCCATCAACAGTAGCATAGATGAGTAGTAGAGCAGTCACCCAATGATAGAAAACTATACATACAGAGTGAGAATGGACAAACTGTAGTTACACACAACTAGAATGAATCTCACAAACATATTGAGTGAAAGAAGCCAGAAATGAAAGAGCATAGAGTGATTCCATTTATATCAAGTTGAAAAACAGGCAAAACTAATTTATCCTGTTAGAAGTTAAGATAGTGGATAATGGTTACCTTTGGGAGGGAAATGGTAGCTGGAAGGAGGAACAGAGAGAACTGTGAGAGAACTGGAATATTCTGTTTCTTGACATAGGTGGGTTCAGTTTGTGAAAAATATTTGAGCTGTATACTAATGTTATGCATAGTTTTATTTATATACTATAGGCCCAGTGCATGAAATTCGTGCACTCGGGGGGGGGGGGTCCTCAGCCCAGCCTGCACCCTCTTGCAGTCTGGGAGCCCTTGGGGGATGTCTGACTGATGGCTTAGGCCTGCTCCCCCCAAAGCATCCTTAGCACTAAGCTCATCAGCAGTGAGTCTGGCTTCTGGCTGAGCAGTGCTCCCCTGGTGGGAATCCACTGACCACCAGGGGACAGCTCCTGTGTTGAGTGTATGTCCCCTGGTGGTCAGTGCACCTCATAGCAACTGGTCATTCTGCCATTGGGCCAAATGTGAGAGGGTGCAGGCCAGGCCGAGAAACTCCACCAGTGCACGATCAAACCTGGGGAGGGGCCCAGGAGGGCTTCAGGGTATGTCTGGCCCATCTTGCTCATTCCCAATCTACTGGACCCCTGCGGCCAGCTAACCTACCGGTGGAAGCGTCTGCCCTCTGGTGGTCAGTGCACATCATAGCAAGTGGTTGAGCAGCCTTAGCATATTATTAGCATATCACGCTTTGATTGGTTGAACAGCTGACCAGACGACTGGACATTTAGCACATTAGGCTTTTATTATATAGGATATATTTCATAGAGAAATACTATATATTTCATAGAGAAAGGGAGAGGGAGAGAGAGTTAGAAATTCTGGGGGGTCAATGATGAGAGAGTATCATTGATAGGCTGCCTCCTGCATGCCCCACACTGGGGATTGAGCTCATAACCCAGGCATATGACCTGATCAGGAATCGAACAGTGATCTCCTGGTTCAAGGGTCAATGCTCAACCACTGAACCACACCAGCTGGGCTATGCGTACTTTTCCCTTCCATATGTTATGCTGCATACTTCTCCATACGTGTGTTGCACATCAATACAATTTTCCTTTATAAAATATGCATATTAGGTAATGCAGAATTACTGGAGGACCTGGCTACATATCCCAAAGTCTGATTCAGTATCCCAAATCATGTTCTTGAACTGCATTTCCACTGCCAAGCACCACTGGCCACTGCCACTACCAGCTCTGCCTGCCTTGTTCCTTGGGAGCTTAATTCTGCTGTAGCTACTTCCACCTGAGGGAGACAGTTCCATTCCTGGCTCCTATACAAATTCTGGTGTGGATGCCTTTGTTAAGTGGAGCCTAGCACAAGATCCCACCTTGCTGCAAGGGAAGCTTGGGAAAGCAAATATCTGACATTTTTAGCTTTTAAAGTAGGCAGTGATGTCTGCCAGAAATTGTAAAAGATGGAGGAGGCGGAGGCGGAGGTGGAGGCGGAGGAGAAGGAGAAGGGAGAGGGGAAAGAGGGGAGGGGAGAGAGAGGAGGAGGCAGTGGAGGGGGTGTTTCAAAGTGAAATCTTTCTTGAGGTGAATATTTAGGTTAGTGGAAGAAAGTAAATTTCAAATGTTAGGTACAGTGTCTAGGGGTAGAGATTGAATACAACATAGCACTTGGGTCCAGTGGAACAAGTTTAACCAGGTCAAAGGGTGTGTTCTGGAAAAATGGCTAGAGAAAAGTTGAAGGAGTAGGGTGGGAAAGATTAAGGATTAATTTGAAAGCCAGGCAGAGGAATTCAAATTTAATATGGGAATTTCAGAGCCAATAAAAGTTTGTGAACAAGAATGTGTCCTGAGAGGAAGAGGTATTAAAGGACCATTAATCTGGCAACACTTCCAGGAGCAGCAGCTAGGAGGTGGCTAGTAATTTAGGGAATGGGTGGTGGATTGCGAGTAGAAATAAAAGACAAAGACTGGATTTAAGAGAGCATTTGAAGGGGGGGAAAAATCCATAGGATTTAACAAAGAAAAATGGAGAAGATAATTCTACTTTTGAGCCTGATGTGGTATCGCCTTTCATTCAGAGCTAGAAAGGGTGAGAAGGGGGCCAGTTTGGAGGAAATAAAAGAATGAATTTTCATTTTTGAATTGTTGAGTTTAAAAGTAGTCCCTGTGCACCTGGTCATAAGAGGCCAGACAGTGAAGTAAGCTCTGTGGAAGGAATACTAGTAGTTCTTATAGAAATAGAGGGTGTGAAGAGACTAGAACAAATGTGACAGAGCTCAGAGTGCTTCTCAGATCCCACATTTAATGTAGTGGTAAATATAATGTAGTGAAAAATTTGGACTACAAATTGTACCTTCTGCTTCATAAAGCTTCACCTCGGCCCATATTGATACTATTACTATTTGATGCTGTTTTCTTTCTATTACTCTAATATCTTTGAAGTGTATGTAATTAATCCATATGAGGCTTCTCTTGGTTATTTCTAATAGTTTTGAATGCTTTGTATACAAGGAGAATATGTTCAAGCTAGGGACTTTAAACAAGACTGAGAGTGGCTGCATATAAAAAACAGGCCTCCAGTAGATTAGAAAAATTACGAGCTGGAATTCTCAGCACCACTTGGATCAGTGATGACAACTCCATTCCATATTGTGCTTAGAAAAGAATGGCTGTAAAACCTACTTAGGCCTCACAAGGTCTTTTCGAGCCTTAGCCAATACATTTAGGCACTGTCAGTAACCACAAGCTTTAGCACAACATTCAGGCTTGGCAAGGCAGCCTGGACTCTGGAGCCCAACAGAGTCCAGGCTTTTGTGTACAGCTTGTAAGCTGTTGCTGAGGCACGCCTTCTTGGTATTCCTCTTAGGACTTTATTCTCTATAGTCTGTAACATGTTCCTACTTGTAGAGTATGCTAGATTGCTCAGATATCATTAAAGGATCTGCATCTATCTTACCAGGAAACAGCTCACCCCTTGGGTGATGTGTGAAATAGTGAAGAAATCCTTAGATAGTGACCCATCGTTGAAGCTGCTGGTGTGTTTGCTGGCATATAGTACCTTAAGTCCTCGGTCTCTCTGGGGTAATAGGTAATATCTTCCCTATATTTAGCTTAGTGTAGATCTTACTCAAATTAGCAGAAAATACTCAAGGGCTTGTCTCTCTCCTGCATGGTTTCTCTACCTAAAAAGGGAGCAGGTTGACAATGCAGGAAGTGATTTTGAGTCCGTGTCAAAGGATCCATCAGCCTTTCTAATTAATAGGATTTGTAAGTGAAACAAAAAGTGATGAACCAGCCGGCACGGGTTTGGCTCAGTGGATAGAGCATCGGCCTGCGGACTGAAAGGTCCCGGGTTAGATTCCGGTCAAGGGCATGTACTTTGGTTGCGGGCACATCCCCAGTAGAGGGTGTGCAAGAGGCAGCTGGTCGATGATTCTCTCTCATCGACGTTTCTAACTCTCTATCCCTCTCTCTTCCTCTCTGTGAAAAATCAATAATATATATATTTTTTTTAAAAAGTGATGAACCAATATTGCATTTATAAAAAATAACGTTTTGCTTATGGATAAAACGACCTTTGCAAGTCTGCTCCTTTGCTCACATGGTAGACATGCATCGAAAGAGTTATCCCACCTCTTTACATCAGAAGAAAGTAGTTTGCCTAGACATCTGTGTGTCATAGTTCATGTAGTTTCTGACAGACTTTAAGGCAACAAGACCATTGAATATCATATCTATCATTATTTTTACAGAGAGAGTTCCCTGAGTTGGTTTGAGAGGAGCAGGAGTTTAATACCCTTTCAAAGCTCCCCCTTACCTCGTTTATCCTAAAGGGCAAAAATCTGAACAGGCAAACTATAATTGGCTAAAACAAAGCCAGCAAGGCACAGATTAATGTCACCAACCTGTGCCATTACCTATACATCCTAGGTCAAGCAATCATTCTTTTGGGAAGAAGAAATGCTAACTTTATAATAGTATTCCACTAAAGATAAAAAGAAAAACAATGACCAAGATACCATATCTATTAAAAATACTTTGTTTCATTTTAGAGCTGGTTGAACTTCATTGATGGATAGAGCTTGTTCTTATGTGTTTTTGTACTACAATTTAAAAATATTATTCTTGCCAAGACCGGTTTGGCTCAATGGATAGAGCGTAGGCTTGGGGACTGAAGGGTCCCGGGTTCGATTCCGGTCAAGGGCATGTGCCTTGGTTGAGGGCATATCCCCGGTGGGGGGTGTGCAGGAGGCGACTGGTCGATGACTCTCTCTCATCGATGTTTCTGGCTCTCTATCTCTCTCCCTTCCTCTCTGTACAAAATCAATAAAATATATTTTTAAAAAAATAAAAAATAAAATAAAAATATTATTCTTTTTTAATCTTTTTAGGAGCTGTCTCATCTTATGCATTAGAACTTAATTTGCAGGATTCAAAAAATGCCACTTGCCTTTATGCAAAATGGCAGATGAATTTCACAATAAGTTATGAAACTACAAGCAAAAGTAATGTAAGTATTTTTCTTTTTCTTTGAGTTTTATAGCAGGAATTTAATTCTATTCTTTTTATCCTTTACATGCATTTATACAAATAAGATTTTATATGTTGACTGACTTAAATTCTGTGGGTTTTTAAACAAACTTGTATCCTTGAATATATTCTGATAGGTGTTGGAAGGAATATTTTAATTGATTCTTGGAAGTGTTTTTGGAGTTGCTTAAAGGCAAATGATCTGAAGACTCTATGGTATTCTAATTACTTCTGTAATGTTTTTTTTTTTTTTTTAACATGTATTAACATCAAAGCTTGTCCCTTTTAAAATAGCTTGCTATTAAAAATCTCCATTTTGGGCAGTACTTCTCAATCTCTTTGCCTTTTTATTTTCTTTTAGTTAAGGTCTTGCCTGCTTACAACCTGATTTTTTTAAAAAAATCAACGTAAGAACAGAAGTTCAGGCTAGTTTTCCTTTTCCTTTCAGACATAGTCATTTGTCCAGAAGACTGGTGTGTAGCTGAGGAATCTGAGACTGGTTTACACAGCAAATCAGGCAAAGAGCAACGTAGTCATGGGGGATGTGTGATGTAGACTGAAGTGGCACATCCTGTGAAAATGCTTGATGCTCACTGCTGTTTGTTTGTTCCTTACAAACTTCTTTTTTATTTCAACTTCATCTTGTTTGTTTGTTTATGTTACTACTAGAGGCCCAGTGTAAAAAATTCATGCATGGGGCAGGGGGGTGTATCCCTCAGCCCGACCTGCACCCTCTCCAATCTGGGACCCCTCGGCAGTTGGACATCCCTCTCATAATCCGGGACTGCTGGCTCCTAATCACTCACCTGCCTGCCAGCCTGATTGCCCCAACTGCCCTCTCTTGCAGGCCTGATCAACACCTAACTGCCCTCCCCTGCAGGCCTGATCACTGCCAACTGCCCTCCCCTTCAGGCCTGGTTGCCCCCAACTGCCTTACTGTCGGCCTGGTCGCCCCAAACTGCCCACCCCTGCGGGCCCAGTTGCCCCCAACTGCCCTCCCCTGCTGGCCAGTTTGCCCCCAACTGCCCTCCCCTGCCAGCCATCTTGTGGTGGCCATCTTGTGATAATGTGAGGGTGTCATGTGGGGGCGCGAGGACCACGTAGGCTTTTATTAGTACAGATTAAATTTATTGTGGTTTATTGGTAAATAACATGTAATCTTCAGGTGTACAAAATTATAATACATCATCTGTATATTGCATTGTATGCTCAACACTCAGTCTACTTTCCATTACCTTATATTTGATCCCTTTTACCTATTTTGCTCTCTCCACCTCTCTTTCCCCTGTTTTCTGTACCTATGAGCTTGTTTTTGTTTGTTTTGTTAGTTTATTGCTTTTTATTTTATATTTCATATATGAGTGAAAGTTTATGGTTTTTGTCCTTTTTCATCTTAGCATAATACTCTCAAAACCTATCCATATTGTTGCAAATGGCAATATTTCATCTTTTTATGGTTGAGTAGTATTCCATTGTATGTATGTACCACATTTTTATCTAATCATCCACAAATCAAACTTCTTTTCTTTTAGAAAACTGTAACCATTTCAGACCCTAGCAGTGCAACATATAATGGAAGCATCTGTGGTGATCATCAGAATGGTTCCAAAATTGAGGTGCAATTTGGATCTGGTTTTTCCTGGACTGCGAAATTTACAAAGGACGTGTCTACTTATTTAATTGAAAGTATCTCATTTTCCTATAACACTAATGATAACACAACATTTCCTGATGCTAAAAAGAAAGGTAACCTTAATAATTGGATTTGTGTTATGTTCTCTTGCTGTTTATTAATAATAAAAAATGTGAATAATTTAAAAATTATGCTTATGCATGTATGCCTTCCTAACTAGACTGGAAACTATGCTTTTGTATCCTTCCACACCCATGTACACCCATGTTCAACACAGCATTGATATTTTCTATGCTTTGTGCCAGATAATACCTTAATCCTTCCCAGTAAGCCTGATTAGATATTTCCCCAACTTTATAGGTAAAAGGAATGAGGCTTGATTATATTAAATTACTTTCCCAAACATCACACAGGCTAGCAGGTGGGTGAGCTATTTTTTGAACCAAAGTCTATTGAGGTACACACTTAACTATTGCTATTTATTTCATTCAATGGGTACACTATAAATGTTGAATCAATGAACAAATCTTTTATTAATAACTATTTTAAATGTGTACAAGTTCAATAATCTAAGAGCAGCAGAAATGCTTCATCTGCAAATCTTTTTAACATTTCAGTAGGATTTTGCCAAAAATAAATGATAACTAAGTAAAGGTAAAATGACTTGAATCAACATTTGCTGCTATTTTGAGACAATATCAAGTCAAAATGAACTTGGAGAAAGCACTGGCAATTAGGTCACCATTGTAACTACTAGAACTGAAATGAGTATTAAAATGTTTTGAAGGCATGGATAATGGAGATTTCCATTGTGTCAGGGATATAATTCTCTCCTTTCTTCCCCCTCTGTTGAAGCTGAGTTAACATGATGTTTGTAGTAGCTTAGCATTTCTCACCAGAAATAGATAGAGACTTCAGTTGCCTAGACCTGGAGATAAATGACTCATTTGTATATATGGATATCAAAAGATTATATTTTAAAGACCCAGAAGTGAATGTGGTCATATAAAATGGGAGTTATCGCAGACTGAGTTTTGGAAATCAAATCCTAGTTTTCTTTTTTACTAATCTCTTAGTTTGAGGGGATAATTAAAGCAAATTTGTTATGAGATATTGTATATATTTAGTTTTGTGCCCTACATTGTATTTCAGACCTAGTATAAGATTTGCCCCTCACTTTCAAGGAGCTTAAACACTAGTTGGAGAGAAAAAGTGATAATATTTTTTCAAGTTATATGGGAAAATTAGAAGGCATTGAGATCTGTGTGAAGTTGTTGTTTGTGCTTGGGAGGCTGGAGGGCCCATAAACCTTTCTGACAATGTGAGAGAAGCTCTAGACCCCCTCTCTGAAAATATAGAGTGACTTTTGCATATTGTACATACTCCCAGAGCCCATCTGTGCATGCCTGCAGTTAAAGGCCAGAATAAAAGTGTTCTCATAAGGATTCCTGATTAAGAAAGAGCACAGAGAAAGGAGAGGTCAGTATGTGTTGAAGTGAAAAGTAGGACCTGAGCTGAAACTCTGCTAATGAAGAATTAGAGTAAGCAGCGAATTTTGAGCAGAGTATTTCCAGCAGGGGGAAGTATAGTGTGTGCAGTAGTAATTGGACAGTTGCCTGATTAAAATAGAGGCTGTGTGTGTAGCAGCAAGAAAATCAAGTTGGCTAGGTGGCAGTGGGTCTAAATTATAGGGAGCCTTGGAAGCCAAGGAAAGGCATTTAGCTTGATGGGGTAGGCACTGGGGAACCATTTTAGGTTTTTACCAGGAGAGTGATAAAACAAAAGCAGAGACTACTATTTTATAAAGAATGTTCTGCAGGGTTAATTTGGAAGTGAGGAGACTGTATGCAGAGAAGCCAGCATCAAAGGCTATTATAGTAATTAAGGTACGATGTGACGAGTGCCTGGACCAAATGGGTGGCAAGAAAAGGAGGAGGGATTTAATCTGACAGATTTGATGGGAAAACTTTGGACTCTAAAAGTTAACACCTATTTAATCCAACTTTTATTTTAAATAAGGAGAATGCGAATATTTTTATTACTAGTATCTGTATAATATTTGAAACTATTTGGAATTTAAAAGGGACTGTTGATGGTTTTTGAAATAATTTTGTGTTTTCTTTTTAGGCTTCTGATAATTGAAGTGACTTGGAAATTGCTGTTTTCTTTAAAACATTTTTTCTTGATTAAAATAAAGTACTAAGAATAATATAATAAGCCCACATGTACCCATTACCCAGAATTAGTAAATGCCATTGTTTTTCACATTTATCTTATCTTTTAATTTTATTTTTAAATATATATTTTTCTTCTTTTCCTTTTTTCTATTGTTTAAAGTATTGCATATAATAGCACATATATCTCCTCCCCCCCTTCCCCATTGACCTTTCCATTGATTTCAGAGAGCAAGGGAGAGGGAAAGAGAGATAGAAACATCAATGATGAGAGAGAATCGTTGATCAGCTGTACACTCTACAATGGGAATTGAGCCCACAACACAGGCATGTGCCCTGACCAGGAATTGAACTGTGACTTCCTGATTCATAGGTTGACACTCATCTACTGAGCCACGCTGGCTGGGCCAAAGAAATAAAATCTTACAAATACACTTGTGGCTTCCGTTGTACCCACTCTCTAGAGCAGTGGTTCTCAACCTTTTTAATGCCGCGACCCTTTAATACAGTTCTTCATGTTGTGGTGACCCCCAACCATAAAATTATTTTCGTTGCTACTTCATAGCTGTAATTTTTCTACTGTTAATGAATCATAATGTAAATATCTGTGTCTTCCGATGGTCTTAGGTGACCCTGCTAGCTGTTCAAGACCCACAGGTTGAGAACCGCTGCTGTAGAACCTAAGACCATAGCAAAACTACAGCTATGAAGTAGCAACGAAAATAATTTTATGGTTGGGGTCACCACAACATGAGGGTCGCGGCATTAGAAAGGTTGAGAACCACTGCTCTAGAGCCATTTTCCTCTCTGCCTCCTGAGAGGTAATCACTCATGAATTTGGAGTATAGCCTTCCTGTCTATTTGTTCATTCTTGACTAATACACATGTCAATATATACATAGTTTTAAAATGATAATTTTATAGTATAATTCAATATTTCTACAACTTGTTTTTTCATTCATTGTGTTTTTTTAAATTTCTTTATTGATTAAGGTATTACATATGTGTCCTTATCCCCCCACTACCCCTATACCCTCCACTCATACCCTTATGTTGCCTATGTCAATTGGTTAGGCTTATATTCATTTGTTTTTTGAGGTCTAAATACAGCCAATTCATGTAGCTGTTCACTTTAAGGATAAAAATTTTGGAGAAAAATGTTCTAGTTTATTATTTATTTATTTATGTATTTATTTATTTATTTTTATTTTTAAATATATTTTATTGATTTTTTACAGAGAGGAAGGGAGAGAGATAGAGAGAGTTAGAAACATCAATGAGAGAGAGTCATTGATCAGCTGCCTCTTGCACACCCCCTTCTGGGGATATGCCCGCAACCAAGGTACATGCCCTTGACCTGAATCAAACTTGGGACCTTTCAGTCCCCAAGCCGATGCTTTATCCATTGAGCCAAACCAGTTTTGGCAAAATGTTCTAGTTTATTGGTAAACATTTTTTTCTTTGGCCATTAGGGGGCGCCAAGGCAGCATTAACTGGCTGCCTAGCTAAATGATGGAGAGACACAGAAAGCAGCCTGTATTATGGACCTTGAATAGTACCTTCCTTACTGCTTCTCCAAATGAAACTACTTTTGGGTGGATAAGTGTGATCATAGTCTTTTTAAGTTTTACTATAGGAAGTATAATAAATACTATGTACAGAATGATTATAACTTACTGCTTTCACATTCTGGAGATTTTATGAAATGGAATAGTCTTTGAATTCTATCTAAGAAGAGGTTCCAAAAATTCATATAGTTACTATAACTTGCTTGGGATAGTAGCACAAAAATAAGGATTTATTATAAAATCCCTGATTAGTGTATCTCTTCCATTTTAGTCACTGTCCTGTTGATTCTAACTTAGATATATGTTTTCAACCTTCCCTCTTTGCTTTCTTCCTCTCACCATCTTAGTTTAGGCATCCCTCTCTTTGCTTTTTTTTTTTTTAATTCTTTATTGATTAAGATATTACATATGTGTCCTTATCTCCCCCCATTACCCCCCAACCACCCCCCACTCATGCCCTCACCCCCCAGTTGTCTGTGTCCATTGGCTAGGCTTATATGCATGCATACAAGTCTTTTGTTTGATCTCTCCCCCTTACCTCCTCCCTTCCCTCCCTTCCCTCCCTTCCCTCCCTTTCCTCTGAGGTTTGATGATCTGATTGATGCTTCTTGACTCTGGATCTGTTTTTGTTCATCAGTTTATGTTGTTTATTATATTCCATAAATGAGTGAGATCATGTGATATTTATCTTTCTCTTACTGGCTTATTTAGCTTAGCATAATGCTCTTCAGTTCCATCCATGCTATTGCAAATGGTAAGAATCCCTTTTTACTGCAGTGTAGTATTCCATTATGTAGATGTACCACAGTTTTTTAATCTAATCATCTACTGATGGGCACTTAGGCTGTTTACAAATCTTAGCTATGGTGAATTGTGCTGTTCTGAATGTATGGGTGCATATAACCTTTCTGATTGGTGTTTCTAGTTTCTTGGGATATATTCCTAGAAGTGGGATCACTGGTTCAAATGGGAGTTCCATTTTTAGTTTTTTAAGGATACTCCATACTGTTCTCCACCAGTCTGCATTCCCACCAGCAGTGCACTAGGATTCCTTTTTCTCCCCATCCTCACCAACACTTGTCGTTTATTGACTTGTTTATGATAGCCTTTCTGACAGGTGTGAGATGGTACTGCATTGTCGTTTTGATGTGCATTTCTTGGATAATTAGTGACTTTGAGAATATTTTGATATGTCTCTTGGCCAAAGTATCTATTTAGGTCATTTGCCCTTTTGATTGGGTTATCTCCCTTTTGTTAAGTTGTATGAGTTCCCTATGGATGTTGGAGATTAAACCTTTATCAGTGATAACATTGGCAAATATGTTCTCCCATACAGTGGGCTTTCTTGTTGTTTTGTTGATGTAGTCCCATTTGTTTAATTTTGCTTTAGTTTCCATTGCCCGAGGGGCAGTATCAGTGAAGAAGTTCTTTTGGCATATGTCAGAGATTTTGCTGCCTGTGGATTCCTCTAGTATTTTTATGGTTTTCCATCCTATGTTTAAGTCCTATATTCATTTTGAGTTTATTTTTGTGTATGGTGTAAGTTGACGGTCTAGTTTCACTTTTTTTTGTGTGTATCTGTCCAATTTTTCCAACACCATTTATTGAAGAGACTGTCTTGACTCCATTGTATGGTCATGCCTCCTTTGTGGAATATTAATTGGGCACAGTGGTTTTGGTTGATTTCTGGGTTCTCTATTCTATTCCATTGATCTGTATGTCTGTTCTTGTGCTAGTACCAGGCTGTTTTGAGAACAGTGGCTTTGTAATACAGCTTGATATCTGTCTGGTATTGATATCCCTCCTACTTTATTCTTTCTCAAGATTGCTGCAGGTATTCGGGGTCTTTTTTTTTTTTTTTTTTTAAATCCCAGATGATTTTTTTGGAGAGTTCCTTCTAAGTCTGTGAAATATGCCGTTGGTATTTTAATAGGGAGTGCATTGAATCTATAAATTGCTTTGGGTAGTATGGACATTTTGATGATGTTGATTCTACCAATCCATGAACAAGGAATGTTCCTCCAACTCTTTAATTCTTCCTCTGTCTCTTTTTTCAGTGTCCTGTAGTTTTCTGCGTACCCCTCCTTGCTTTTTACCTTGACCATGTCATCAGCCTTCTAAGTGGTTTCCCTTTTAAATTATTTCCCCTAACATCTTCCTCCCCTGCCTACCCTCTATACTTTTGCTATTTCCTTCGAAATAAATTATACATGTGTTATTTATTTCCAGCTTTAAAAACTGGAGCTGACCTCCCATTGCTAAAAAATTAAGGCCCACTAACATGTCCTTAAATCAGATAAGATACTTCAGAATGTGACCCCTTGTAGCTTGTCTTTCCTTCCTAACCCCCATTTCTCTTATACCCTGTGTTTAAGCCATAGCAAATGTGTTGTTCCCTGAAGATGCCATGTCCTTTGTCACTTTGGAGATGGGGTGGGGCAGGCAGAAGAGAAGAAAGTGTAATGTATATTTATATTATCACTTTTCCCCCTACTTTCCTAAAAACAGCTATTGTTAACCTTTTTTTTTTTTTTACAGAAATTTTTACAGTTCATGAACCTGTGGCACTCAAAATTCCATTGGATGAGATCTTTAGATGCAATAGTATATTGACTTTAGGAATGAAAGATGTTGTCCAGCACTATTGGGCTGTTCATGTACAAGCTTTTGTCCAAAATGGCACAGTGAGCACAAAAGGTGACTACTTAAAGTATATGTTTCTGTACTTAGGTCCTAAATTAAGATGAGTATACCAGGTAGCTTTGTTGAAGTTGTTACCTGCAAGCAAGCATATACTAAGGTTTATTCATAGTTTACACTGGACTGTAAAATTTTTATAAATAATAACAATTCTTATGGAATTTGTAATTTTAAGTTTATAATGTACCTCTTTTGGAATGGTATTTTTAAAATATTTTTTTCTTGATTTCAGAGAGGGAGAGAGAGAAACATCAGTGATGAGAGAGAATCATTGATTGGCTACCTCCTGCATACCCCACACTGGGGATCGAGCCTGACTAGGAATTGAACTATGACTTTCTATTTCATAGGTTGAAGTTCAACCATTGAGCTATGCTAGCTGGGCTGGAATGATATATTAAAATGCTTTATTCATAGTGTTTTCAGCCAATACAATCTAGTCCTTGTTTGATCAAATCCTCAAATAGTATTTGATCCTCAGCTCTTTTGATTTTGACAATGCAAGTCCAAAGCATAGAAATTATAATATATGTCTGCATTCTAATCTTGAATTTTATAAATTGGCTTTATATTTTTCATATAACTTTATGGAAATGTAACAGTTTCTCATTCATCACTTCTGGGAAACAACCAACACTTCTTAAAAAGAGGCATGATTTGCTGCTATAGGGGTAACAAAAATAAAAAAGTTCATTTGTATTTAAATCCTTCAATAATCTGTAAACTTTCATCTGATAAACACTATCCTTCTTTATAGTGGTTGTATATGGAAGAGAAAGGGACAGGCCTACATTGGAGCAAAATGTTTTCAAACTTAAATCTCTGATTTTCACATTAGAGACAGTGAAATTTTTTGGGAATAAAGGGACTTAAGTGTCTGAAATGATGGATGTGCAGCCTGCAATGTTTGGGTAGATAAAGCATTTGCGTGTCGAGCCTCTCTGCTGTGTCATAACTCTTAGAGATTGTCTGCATATGAAGCAGCAGTTTGAGAAATCTTGCTCATTTATTTTAAAATATATCAAGGAATACCCTCCCCTTCTTTTAGATTTCTATTATGATAAATAGTTTGCTCTTCCTAGGCCTTATGAGTTAAGGAAAAGTTTAGTTTATTTTGTCCTTTGTTTGTTTTAGAGTTCCTGTGTAATGAAGATAAAACTTCAACCACTGTTGTGCCCATTGCTCCCACAACTTTACCATCTCCTACTCCTACTACAACACCTGCTCAAAAGGAAAAGCCAGAGATTGGATCCTATTCAGTTAATAATACCAATGGTACTTGTCTTATGGCTACTATGGGCCTGCAGCTGAACGTGACTCAAGATAAGGTATATTTGTCTATAGACATCACTCAAGATAATGTATGGTTGTTTATTTTTATGGCTACATTCTATTTGCATCTCCTTTCAAATAGTGTATCCTACATTCAGCTCAAGTAGTATTACTGGAATGACGGCATTTTAAATGGAGATTTGATGTTGACTCATTGAGTTTTGAAGAGTTTGGAGTTACTATAACCATGAAGAGTTAATGTTGCTCTCGAGATGCTATATCGGGCAGTGGGAAACCTAGCAGTTTAAAGGACTCTGGGTTTAGATTCTATTTGCCATCAGTAGATCAGGCAATATCAGAGTTGATTATTATTTCAGTCAGTTTAAATATAACTCCTTAACACTTGTACTGAAAACATGCACTTTAGGTAGTTATCTATTTTTCCTTCTATTTGATGACTGGAATCATATAGATATGTCTACATACAGCATGGCACTTCTAATTGCAGTGTTCCACTGAGCCTACAGAGGGTGTACCAACAAACAAATCCCATTTCCAGAGACCCATGACTTAAGCCAGACAGCTCTTGTTCCATAAATTATGTGTATTTTCATTTGGCTCCTTACTAAGGAAGCTTCCCTCTTGTTTTTATTTCTTTTTTTTTTTTAAAAAAAAGTCATCTGAGTTACAGCTTGAGGGCCTGTGCCAACTTTGTTTTAAAGTAAGACATCATAAATTTAAGTATCCAGACAAAAGGATTTTTTGTTCTCCACTAAAATTGGCTTATTAGATTATAAGGTTTTGTTGTAGACATTTGTGGCTAATCTGTACCTTCCTCCCCTCTTCTTCCCTTAAAGGTTGTTACAGTTATTAACATCAATCCAAATACAACTGACTTCACTGGCAGCTGCCATTCTCAAACTGCTCTGCTTAGGCTAAACAGCAGCAACATTAACTATCTTGACTTTGTCTTTGCTGTGGTGAGTAATAGATTTTTCTAAAATTAGGCTTATTCTCTCAGAAAGACATCTGAAAGTATAAATAGGTGTGTGTGTGTGTGTGTGTGTGTGTGTGTGTGTGTGTGTGTTGGGGAGATATTTAGCTCTATTTTCCATTCCAACACTACTTAATTATAGAGTGTAGTTCATTGATTCCTGTTAATCCCTCAGGATCACCTCAATGGTCTGTGGCTGGACTCTTACATTAATGTTCACCAACTGCGGCTATTCTGCATTTATATAGTTTTTAGGGTAGGAGCATGAATTAACCCACATTAAAAAAACTGTCTAGCCCAGTCAGCGTGGCTCAAACATTGATTCAAATGAGACAGGAGGTCACTGGTTCAATTCCTGGTCAGGTTGTGAGCTTGATCACAATAGGGAGCATGCAAGAGGCAGCTGATCAATGATTCTTTCTCATCATTGATGTTTCTATCTCTCTCTTCCTCTCTGAAACAAAAATATATTAAAAACAACAACTGTCTAATCTGTCCATATATAAAAAGTATATATACATATGTATCTGTATATATATGTGCACATGTATACTTATAATTATCTATTATATAAAAGCCTAATTACCATTAGGACCAGATGACCAAACGACCGGCTGGTAGCAATGATGTGCACTGACCACCAGGGAGCAGACACTCAATGCAGGAGCTGCCCCTTGGTTAGTGTGGCCCCACAGCCAATCTCCCATGCCTGGCCAACCTCCTGTGGTCCCTCCCCCTAGTCTGATCTGCCTGACTAGAGGAGATGGCCCCAACCACCAGGCAGGCTGAGGGATCCCACTCATGCACAAATTCCTGCACAGTGCTGATAGTATATATATAAAAGATAAAATAATATCCATACATTTTTCTCTATTATTGGTTAGAAAACTCTCGTGTTTGTTTTAGGCATTTTAGTACCAGTAATAACAGCTGGTACAATTTATTGAGTAATTGATATCTATAAGGATCTGTATAAGTACTTTACATGCATTAATTCATTAAATCAAGACAGTTTATAATGGCAGCATTCAAGTTTTTGTTCATATTTGTATCAAGGGCTGAACCTTAAACAGAAAGTTCCAAGTTACACATATTCTCTACTTCTTGCTAGCATAAATGAATCATCGGGATTTATTTTTATTTTATTTTTTATTTTCTACTTTCTCCAAAGCAATTATCCCCACAGTTTTTGGAGGGGTGTGTGTATTTATCTAAGGGATGGGAAAATAGTCTCGACATCTGATATAGAAAAAATTAGTCTGTTACTCTTTGTTTTATATCTGAACTTGGTTTATTGGATCTAAAATTTTTTTCTCTCTATGGAATATAATGCCAAGTTATATGGAATATATATGCCAAGTTAGAATTATATTAGACAATTACAATTTAGAAAGGTTTACAAAAATCTTCCCTTTTCTAACATTCAAATCATTCCTCTGTTATACTACATATATGATCAGTGAATTACTATTAAAACCATTTAGTTACACTTGTCCTTTTCAGTATAGTAAGAGTAGGCCTCCCCAGACACATCCTCTTTTATTTTTATAAATATATTTACATTGATTTCAGAGTGAAGAAGGGAGAGGGAGAGAGGGAGAGAGAGATAGAAACATCAATGATGAATATTGTTGATTGGCAGCCTCCTGCATGCCCCACACTGGGGATAGAGCCTGAAAATCAAGCATGTGCCCTGATCTGGAATCAAACCATGACCTCCTGGTTCATGGGTCTACACTCAACCACTGAGCCACACCAGCCAGGTGACACATTATCTTTTAAAGTTGCATGGCCACTAAGAATGAGGAAATTAATATTTTAGGTTTATTCCCTTTTGAGTGAGTTTGATCTTTCTATATATGGTAATGTTCTATATATGGTAAAAGGACCATGGTTTCTTCTGACTCTCATGGGAAAATATTTAATAACTAGTGGCCCATTGCAGGAAGATTCCTGCAATAGGGCTTCCTGCTGTGGCCGTCACTACCCTGCCTGCTTTCCTCACTTCTCAGCCACCCTGCTTGCTTCTCCATAGCTTTGCTCCCTTCTGCAGGCTTGGTTTCTTTCTATGCTGTCTTGATATGCAAATTAACCACCATATTGGTCGGGTTAATTTGCATACTCACCCTGATTGGCTGGTGGGTGTAGCTTGTGTAGCAGCGTGATGGTAAATTTGCATATTACTCTATTATTAGGTTAGATTATAATATTGAATTTGCCTAGCAGACTATTTTAAAGTGCAATCCAGAATAGTTGTATTTTAACCATGCTACAGGCATTTTGAAAATTCAGGAAACACCTGTAATGTCACTAGAGTTCAGTGGGGCCCATCTCACCTTCATGATAGATGCTTCCAAAGGAGGATTTATTGAATTCCAGTGTATTATTTGCAGGATGCTATGGTGGGATACAAAGAAGGCATATATTCTTAAGGTGCCCACAATTTAGTGATAAAGATAGAAATATACAAATAATTACTGTTTTGTGGAAGGCCTTGAATGCCATGCTAAGACTTTTGAACTTGATTCTGTAGGCAATAGAGTACTGTAGAAGGTACATACAAAGTGAGATGAGTGTTAGACCAGAGGAAAATGCAGGTGCTATGGGAGTACAGAGGCTGGAGTGGTTAATTCTGGTTGTTGGTGAGTCAGGAAAGCTTAATGGAATAGATGACATTTGAGTTGGACCTTCAAGGATGGATCATATTTGTACACAAGGAGAGTGACTACAAAAGTACAGGTTATCTCTAGATAAAGTAACCCAGTCAAGGGCATGTAGCATGTTGAGTAAAAGATAAATATGGAAGAGTCGTTGGGACAAATTGTGGAGAGCCTTGAATGCTGAGCCAGAACCTAGCCTAAGCAAAGGAAAGATTTGAGGAAGTGGTCAAATATTCCTTTATGCTTCCTTCTGAAATTTCTGAGTCTGTCCCCTTGTTTTCATTCCTTACTGACTTTGCCCTGATTCCAGTTCCATTACCTCATACCTGGACTATTCAGTCTCCTTAATTAATTCCTCTTCTTCCTCCCCTCCCTCAATGTTCTGCATCTTCTTGAAGCACAGCCCTTGCTCAGAAACCTTCAGTGATTCTGTTTTGCCAGTATGATAACATCTAAATTCCTGGCAGGATAGTTCAAGCCTCCCTCCCCAACACTGTGCATTGTAACCTGCAATCCAGCTTTGTTTCCTTCATTCCCTCTTCATGAATCTCATACTTTCCTCACCTTGTTTTCTGTACACAATTCAATGAGGTAGGAGATAGGTAGTAATCGGCCCACAGGCTCTGCAGCCAGACTTCCTGGATTCAAATCTCAGCTCCCTGACTACTAACTATATAGCCTCTGGGAAAGTTACTTAACATCTCTTCACTTAGATTACCCCATCTCAAAATGGGGTGGTGTAATTATTCAATGAAGCTTCATATGTAAAGTTTTAAGAACAGTGCTTGGCACTTAGTAAGTTCTCAGATGCTAGTATACTTGTGTTTACACTTATTTTTTAAAATATATTTTTATTGATTTCAAAAAGGAAGGGAGAGGAAGAGATAGAAACATCAATGATGAGAGAGAATCACTGATAGGCTGCCTCCTATATGCCCCTCACTGGGGACTCTGCCCTTGACCAGAGTCGAACTTGGGACCCTTCAGTCCCAAACTGACACTCTATCCACTGAGCCAAACCAGCGAGGGCATGATTGCACTTATTTTCTACCTTTACTCATGTTGTTGCCTTCTTGAATACCCTTTTCTGTTTGTTTTCTAATTGAATCCTACCCAATTTAAATGGCCCATCCCTAAGCTTGCATTACTTTTGCTCCTCCCTTAGTTAGAAGTAATTTTTCTCCTTTTTATTTTCATAACTTAATCACTCTTTTTTGTAATATGGTCATTTATGTTCTCTCTCTCTCTCTCTCTCTCTCTCTCTCTCTCTCTCTCTCAGATATATATATATATCTGTTAATTGTTTAATATCTGAACTTGGTTTCTTGAACCTAAAACCTTTTTTCTCTATGGAATATATGCCGAATAATTGAGGATTGTATCTAATTATATTTTAGAAAGATTTACCGAAATATTTCCTTTTCTAACATTCAAATCATCCCTCTGTTATAGTACATATATGACCAGTGGATAGAATCTTAAATTCCAAGACTCACTGGAACATTCCAGGACCCCCAGGGGATGTTTAAAACTACAGATAGTACCACACCCTGTATATACTGTGTTTTCTCTATACATGCATACTGATGATAAATTTAATTTATAAATTGGCCACAATAAGAGATTAACAATAAATAATAAAATAGAACAATTAGAACAATATACTGTAATACAAGTTACATGAATTTGGTTTCTCTCTCTACAAATATCTGGAATTTTCAATTTAAGATTTGTGTACTGTGGTTGATCATGAACAATTAAAATTGTGGAAAGTGATACTGCAGAAAGCAAAACGGGATAATGGGGGACTACTGTATTTATCTTATCTTCCCTGGCAAATTGCAAAAAGGGGGTGGGGGCGCAGGATTCAAAGCTGGTTCATTTTGCTAGCTCCCTGGAGCACTTCAATATGTTCCCTTGTACATACTAAGCACTGACATAATTGGAATGACTGCCTAGTCAGATGAGTGCTTCAGAAAAATAATAGCAGAGAAGGAAAGCTTTAGCTTGAGAGGCTGAAAGGCAGAGAGCTCAGTTAGAGGCTAGAGGTGGGGAGGGCTTATGATCCCAGCTAGAGGTGGGGAGGGCTTAGCAAGTGACAGGAGGAATAAAATGGAGGAAATTAATTGTGGAGTATCTGAGAACCATATACTATATCTCTGGTCCAAAAATTGGAAACAAAATGCAGAGGGAAAGGGTTTCTTTCCTGTTTTGTATTCTCTACTTAGTTACAATTTATTCTAATATTAAATTCCAGTACCCACTGAAACATTCCAAAACCTCCAGGGGATTACAGCTCTGCTGAGCACAGCAATTAGACCTGTAGAATACTTTCTGTTGAATAAAGGTCTAATTCATAGTTTTATCTTTTGGGTTATGGTATTAGATTGCTTTTATTCTGTAGAAAGTAACTACCTATAAAATTATTTGCAGTGTAATATCAGTTCCAGCCTGTATATCTGGTCAGCTATAATAGAGATGAGCTCTGTAAATTCTCTGATATGAAACAGTCCTTATAATGTGTTGATTAACTGCAAATTCATTTTTTTTAAATAGAAAAATGAAAACCGATTCTATCTGAAGGAAGTGAATGTCAGCATGTATTTGGTTAATGGCTCTGGTAAGCAAAATATTGGCCTCAGGGTAAAGAGTGTGTGTTACACTGAAGGAATAAAACCATAATTGTCTTTTTACCAAATAGTGCCTTATCTAATGGGATAGATTTTGTATAAAAAATCATACTTTGACTACAACTTAAAATCAGTAACTTAGCACTACAGTAGTCTATCTTTTGCAGTATACCATATTTTCAAATCATGGTGGGTAATAGTTAAGGATGTGACTGATTTTTAGACTATAGAAACGTCTATAGAAAAAACAGGGAACAGTGACAGATAATAACTAGAATTAGTGAGTTGATTATATTGTAAAGTACAAAATGTTGAATCATTGTATTGTACACATGAAACTAATATAATATTGTATAGTAACTATACTTAAATTTAGAAAAAAAGGAAATAGGGAACCTAGTGATGGGAAGAATTGCTTTTTGTAGGTAGACCTCTTATACTTCACTGAAAAATCCTGAGGACAGTCTCATTTTTTATATTAATAGGATAAGAAATTACTAACATTTTTTTTCTTTAAAGTTTTCAGCACTGCAAATAACAACCTTAGCTACTGGGATGCCCCCCTGGGAAGTTCTTATATGTGCAACAAAGAGCAGATGATTTCAGTGTCTGGAGCATTTCAGATAAATACCTTTTATCTAAGGGTTCAGCCTTTCAATGTGAAAGAAGGAAAGTATTCCACAGGTAAGAGTCAAACCATCTTTATTAATAATTGGTAGTCGTATGTTGGTTTTTACTTTGAGTCATGGAAACTTAAGCATTGAACTAGAGAAATATAAACTCCCCTCTCGACTCCATTGTAGAGTTCTCAAAGCCTTGAGCAAGTTGTATCACTTTATATTTGGCTCATTATTTTGCTCAACCGTAGATTTTCGTGTGATCTGAAAACCATTTGCAACAAACTTCTTAAAGCTAAAAACTGATAAAAGCTTCGCGTGAGCTTTACTTAGGGTAGGGACGCTTCCCCCAGGTTTTAGTTTGTGAGAAGGATGGCATTTGGGAGCAGCAGCTTTGAGCATCTGGCATCTGCCTTGGGACCATTTTCTAGCTGGAAACATTTTCATACTTGAATAAAAGCAGTTTGGTCATATTTTGTTGAGACAAAAGATTATGGTAGCAAAGCCTCAAATATCAGGAACTATGCTTTGGCCAGCCACAATGATCTGGAGATTTTAAAAAGCATGTGCCAGTGTGAATGATCCTTTTTGAAGATCTTCTCAATCCGTATGATAGTGTTTATCAGATTTTTAATGAAACCTTTGCCAGCAGCTCATTACAGTGTTTATATGAGTATAAAAGATGCATTTGGCATTCCAAGATTACAATTTTTATGAAGGAAAAGGTACATGAAATTCCTTAATTGACTTGACCTTTTAAACCTTTGTACTTAAAATCGTTGTTTGTGGATTGCAGCTGTGCTGAGCACAGCTATCCAGTCATTCACAGCATTTTTAACAATTAATTCCATGGTTTAGAACAGGGGTGGGGAACATTCAGCCCGTGGGCAGTATAAGGCCTATTAAATCATTTGGTCTGGCCCTGCCGAGGCATTAGGGTGAATTAAATAAATGTTTTACCAATTATAGCAGGCTAATTTTTTAAGTTGATAATTTTGTATGGCCCGTGAATGTTATAAATATCCATCTTGCCCTTGGCAGAATAAAGGTTCCCCACCCCTGGTTTAGAAAGAAATGTAGAAGCTGTGCTTAAAAATCAGTATGCTTTGAACCATTCTGTTACTTTTGCAGTAGTCTAAATACCTAGCCTGACTTGATTAGGTCACAGTAAATTGGGTTCTTCACCCTATTACCATTCTTGTGACAAGAGCGATTAATCTTACTTTAAAAATTTTAAAAACATTTATTTCCCCTTTTGTCTGTTTTTCTTTTTTACTTCCATTATTTTGATCCTTTAATAATTTTCTTCTTGAGTCTTTTTTTAAAAAATATTTTATTGATTTTTTACAGAGGAAGGGAGAGAGATAGAGAGCTAGAAACGTCAATGAGAGAGAAACATCGACCAGCTGCCTCTTGCACACCCCCTACCAGGGATGTGCCCGCAACCAATGTACATGCCCCTGACCGGAATCGAACCTGGGACTTTCAGTCCGCAGACCAACGCTCTACCACTGAGCTAAACCGGCTCCGGCTCTTCTTGAGTCTTGATCTAGCTCTTCTACATGATTACCTTAATTTAAGGTCCAGATTTGTGTTTAGAATTTAAAATTATTTGCAGTGTAATATCAGCTCAAGCCTGTATATCTAGTCAGCTGTAATAGAGATTAGCTCTGTAAATTCTCTAATTTGAAACTTTGCTTTTTATGTACATAGAATTTAAAATGTCACCTAAAGGAGTATATAACATTTAATATAAGGGTAGGCAAAATAGGTCTTTAGTTATGAGTACACAAAACAGTTTATCCTTGTATTATTATTTTGTATTTTTCCATATGAACAACTTTAATCCCAGCGTTGATAATGAATGCATCACCAATTTGTTGGGCTATGCTCTTGACTGTAGGTGCCTATAAATACAACGCACTGGTAATACTTGACTATATAGGAGAAAGGAATAGACTTGTAGTAAAGTAAAAGAGTGTTGATTGGATTTTACTGGATCAGACTACTCCCTAGGAATAGAAAAAATATTCTATGGACTGCCAATCCTGACCAGATTGATAACTGTATGATAAATGTAATAAACACACTCTAAGTAATAAGAGGCCCCAGTTTCTTGACTTTTGCAGCCACTAAAATCATGTACTCTAAGTCAGGGACCTGTATACTTTTATATAAAGGCCCAGACAGTTTTGAAGGCCATATGGTCTCTCTCACAACTAGTCAGCTCTGCTATTGTAGCATGAGAACAGTCACAGGCAATAACCAAATGAGTGTGCCTGTATTCCAATAAAACTTTATTTGTGGATACTGAAATTTGAGTTTCATGTAGTTCTCATGTCTCAAAATATTCTTTTTTGTTTCTTTTAAACCACTTAAAAATGTTTAAAAGCCATTTTTAGCTCTTGGGCCAAATTTGGCCCATGGACTAGTTTGCCGTTCTCTGTCTAACGGATTCCAGAGCTAGCCTGGCCATCCTAATCCCATGATTAAACCATCCTGATCTGGTCCCAGTCTCCCAAAAGACATTCACTCTACCACCAAGAGGCTCATCTGGCCATGTGAAATGGGCTAGATTAGCTTGCTTATTTTAAATAAAGTAATACTCCTGTTTTGGAAAGGATTTTGCAAATAAATAAAGAAACATGTATTCATGTATGCGTTTACTCATAAATTTAAATATATATGTATTCATATTACTAATATATGTACAAACATATACGAATGAAAGAACAAACAAGTCTTAGGATTTTAATTCTAGATCAATCTATAATATTCTATAGCTTTATCTTTAAAATATACCTGTCTCAATTACTTAAAGTTGAACTTGTAAGAGCACTTCTGACTTTTGAATCAACATCTTTTACTTTTGGACATTATTTTTTTTATTATACTCATTATTTGTTACACACTTTTTCTCACCTACAGCCCAGGAGTGTTCGCTGGATGATGACACCATTCTAATACCAATTATAGTTGGTGCTGGTCTTTCAGGCTTGATTATCGTTATAGTGATTGCTTACCTAATTGGCAGAAGAAAAAGTTATGCTGGATATCAGACTCTGTAACGCTAATGCATATGTGATCTCTGTTCCAAAGTAATAAAGCAAGTACAAGTTCCAACATGCAATACTATTCAATTTAAGGTATATTTACTTTTAGTTCTGATCTTAGAACCAGTGGTATGGGGGATTTTGTACTTAAATAAATACAAATACCCCAAAACTATAAACTACAAATTGGTCATGTGAATTTGGTTTTCCTAACCAAAGGCAATTAAATCTGTTGTTTCTTCAGCCAAAGGCATGTGCAAAATCACCTGGATTATAGTTCTATTTTATTGGCTTCAGTTAATGTTTGACTTTTTTTTACTTTAGTCATTCTGACTAGAATATACAGTTTAGGAAAAACAGGTTTTAAAAAGAGATTTGTTTTCTTGCATGTGGTTGAATTGAGACAGTACATTCTACAGTGGATTTGTACTTGCTCCTTTTGTATTTTTTTCTGTGATTTTGTTTGCAGGTTAACTTAGCTGCTTTGACATTGCTACATATTTGATCTAATAGAGATATGCCAGTAGATTTGAACAGTCTAATATTATGTTCTTAGCAATGACTACTTTCCTAATGCTTTTTGAATACATTTGTATTTAATGTGGCTATAATGACAAAAGATGCAAAGCTTTTGAAATTTTAGAATAGATGTTAAATTTATTGTTTAATCCCTCCTGAAAAAACCCCCTGAATATTTCAATCTTTTAAATTGCAAGATACAAGACTGTTCCCCTGGGCATTTTAATTTTCTAGGTGCTTTAGAGATAATTGCTTGGCAGTGCCAATTTTGGACCTTTGTCATTTTACCCGTAAATTGGTCTCTACCTGCAGAGCTAAAGTTAATGTAGACTTCCAGTATCCTTGATGGCAGTAGTAGCTTTTATTCCATTTTTATATTTTCTTTTCCTTAAAGAAGAAATGCCAGTATGTCCTAGAACCTAGATAAAGAAGGTTCTATAAAGTAACTTCCACCTAACCCAAAAGTCACTGTCTTCTCCATTAAAATGTTATTTTTTTTAAAGTTGTTCTTTGTTTCCAGTGATTGCTACAACATTTACTAATTTGGCTTTCCTATTTAAATGATTATATGCTAATCAAAACTTATATTATTATTGTTCATTATGGTAGAATCATTATTAATTCATGTATTTTATGTTCAGTTTTATCCTCTGGGGAGATGCACCAGTTGTCCATCTACCACAAACCACCTAATGCTTATATGAGAAAGCAAAACATTTCAGCTTCACAGTTAACATATCAAGTATTTCTTGCTGTTTCTAGGTGTTTTTTATTGGAATGGCTGAGCAAATATTTAGAAATTGTTAATATACAGCCATATACCAAAGGTGCCTGAGGTTGGTTTTTTTGTTTTGTTTTGTTTTTTTGTTTTTTGTTTTTTTGGTGGGGGGAATAGGAGATTATATATTCCCGTTCACTGAAAAAATGAGTTATCTGGGTTCTGAAGTACTATTAATATTGAATTAATTTGGTAGTATAAATAAAAATACATGCACAAACACACACAAGCAATTGCCTGTTAGCATGTGTATATCTAAAACTATCTTTTGAGTTATATTGGAGTACTGAATATTTTTTCCCACTTAAGTTTGCTCTCTGTTTAGAGTAGCCTGAAATTCTTACTGGCTCAGAATCAGATTCCTGATCAACCCCTCTCTTAAAGCTACAATGAGCTGCATTGTCAGCTTAAGGCACTTATAAACGACAAAATATAGATCTGATTTTTAAAAATATTTTTTATTTAAATAGTATGTTAGTGGAAGATTGTTAACCTTAAAATAATGGATAATGCTTATAAGAATGTACATCTTAGATGTTTCTAATAAGTCAAAACAAAGCAGCTTTTTAAAAAAAGAGATTAAAGCATAAGTGGGTGGCACTGGCTTAATGCTGTTAATGTTCCTAAAGGTTTTTACATTTAATTATATATCTGATTCATATGAAAATATCTCTCATTAACACTGTTTTCTAGAAAATCTGACTTCATTGAATATTT